CCTGATACTCTGGAGTTAAGTAAATTGTGACATATTTGTCACCTTACAAATATTAATTTACAGTGAATGCTTACCTTTTTGCCATCTCATCTTTGATCTTAAAGTTAATTGAACTATTCACATACATAATGTCAGGCAATTAAGACATGAAAGGGAATTAGTATCTAGAAGCTAATTTGGTTACATTGTTAACTTCTAACAGGATATTGGTAAACACAGACAAATACACTTAGCATCTACACTGGATTTCTATTACTATAAATGAATGGGTTACTGATTGCTAGTCTAGTACATCTCTCTGAAATTCACATACAAGTGAATTGTCTGGATACAATTGTAATGCCTCTTAAGTTGTTATGGGTCATACACAGGTTGGCTGGTCTGTCAGTGTCACAGATGCTGATAACTATAGAAGGAGAAGGCAATTCGCTTTCCAGTTATATCTAAATAAGAGGATGTGCATTTTCTTCATTTTAGAACTGAGTTATGCAGTTCAAGAGGACATTACTGGTAAGGTGTTTCCTCCTCTTCTCCCTGTTCTCTACCCCATTAATGTCAAAACATGAAAACTTAAGTCTGTCTACTTTGTTCTGCCCTTCTCCATCTGGCACATATTTAACAGATAAATGATACCTTTGCCTATGAATAATGTTTTGACACAGCACGCTATTTTGAACAGTCAAACAAAACTTAAATTTTTTCAGTATTGTTGTATTTGAAGCCACAGGAATGAATGTATCATTTTCAAGAGATTCTGCATGGCACTAATGTCATGCCAATATTAAGAATATAGTTCTAAGGAACAATAGTTCAAAAGAAAATATAACTATGTCAGGGAAAATCTTGGTGTGCTGGAAGAGAGCCTCCATATTTTTTCTGCATGCATATATAATAAAGGACTCTCCATAAAATTAGACCAATATTCAGTAAAGTAGTTGGAGAGCGAACATAGTGTTTGTGAATTTTTTAAAAGTGTTCTATTTAAGAGTCAGGTAGGGCCAGCTGCCTTCCTGAACTGTCAGCTTTCTTGCGTCATCACAATGGATGCTAAAGTTTTAAAGTGAATACATCTAGATGCCTTGGAAATATTTAAGTTAGAATGTCAGCATTATTCTGGTCCCCAGAGGTATCTTTAAAATGTGTTCCTTAGTGATTAGAAACATGTTCTGTAGTATATTTTCATACAGGACTTTGCATTAGGTTGGATTAATTAGTTTTTTAAATTAATCTGCATATTAAAATATAGTCATAAAATAGAGGGGCTTGTCACTTATGCATTACAGAAAAAGTGGTACTATGTATCAATAATTGGTAACTCTGAAATCATGAGCATTAACTTTTTGATCAGGTGAGCAAAACTTACTTACTAAATATACAGTAGATGCTTTATTAGTCATGCATACTAAGCTTTTGTTTTTAATAATATACTGAAGCATGTCAAGGAAATTTGACATTTTAATGTAGCAGAACAATTTTGTGTATTTTGAGAGGTTATTAGATACTAGTTCTTGCTGAACTTAATTATAATGAAACTAAATAAAATAACTTCCTTCAAAATTTCACCAGTTAATTTTTTTTTTTTTTTTTTTTTTAAGTTACACATTGCTGAAAAAGTGGGAAAGGTGGAGATTGTCCTGAAGAAAAAAGATAATATTCCTTGGAGTAAACTGGGACAGCCACTCAACAGTCATAATTCATTTATCAAGTGCACAGACAGAGGTAAATAGTCTCATTTGCTATACAGGACAGTGCGTTTCTCTTCTCAACCACATTTGAGGCAAGGACCTTCCAAATCTATTTTACCAACTAGTACAAAATAGGATTCTCAAGGAATGGGGGACAGATCTGTGTTGTCTCCCTTGCCTTTTATAGTCAAGCCTTCAGGCTAATGTAAAGAAATTTTCTGGTCGAGAGTATTACTCCTGAGGAAATTCTGCGCCAAAAAATAAAAATTATGTGCACAATATTTTAAAATGCTGCAACATTCTGCAAATTTTATTTGTCAGTAAATAAATGTGGCTCTATCATGGCAGTGGGAGCACAGGTCACTGGCTGCATTGAGGTGAGAGATCACCCTGAAGCTCCCACCTCCCTGGTACAAGGACTCGGCAGTGAGGCTGCACCCGACTGTGACACAGCTCCGGAAACACCCTGGGGCTCTGCCCCTCTGCGCCAGGTGCACCAGGTGTGGGTGGGCTGGCTCAGCCCTGCAGGATCCATGTGAGGAGGGGCTTAGTGTGGGGGGATCCAGGTGTGGGGTGAGAGGTTTCTGTGGGGGCAGTCTGGGTGCGGGTGGCTCAGGGAGCCCGGTATGCAGCATCCCCTTGGCAGCAGCCGGGGCTCCCCTGTTAAGCGGGGCTCCCCTGTTAAGCAGGGCCATCGAAAAGTCATCCTGACAAGCCCTACCCACCTACACCTGGACTCCCGCGATAAGCCTCCCACGCCCAGACCCCCCTCCCCGCTGAGACCCAACCACCTTCACCTGGATCACCTGCAGAGTCCCATTGCCCCTGCACCTGGAACCCCCCAACGAGCCCCTGTGCATCCAGATCTCCTGCTTCCCACTGTGATTCCCCTATCTCCTTTTCTTCCCCATTTCATCCCACTGTCCCATCCCTCAATCCCACATTCTCCTTCCCCTGCCCTATTCCACCCCCCTTCCTTACCCAGCCCCACCGCAGGCACTCTCTGTTGCACAGAAAACAGGAAAGCTCCCAGCACACAGAAGGGGAGCACGACTGGCACTAGGACCCAGGAAGTGGTGTTTAGCTACAGAGTCAGCAGAGCTGAGATGCAGCCTCCTTCAGTTGGGCAGCTTTGCACTTGCAGAAATGAAGGGGTGAGGGCAGTGGCTTGTAGCCCCGTGCCTCTGTTTGGGGGGGCAATCCCTCCCCCAAAATTGCACCTATGGTCGTTCCTCTCTACCCCACCCCCGCGCAGCTTTCCTTTGCTTCCCTGACGTTTTCTTCAGGGAAGCGCAGGTATTTTCTGTATGTCACATAGGATTCCCCCAGGAGTAGAGTATGTAGAAGCTCTGTTAGACAGAACTCAACTGAAAGGCTTCCTGTCCCAGGTCAGAATCCAAGACCTTTCTTATCTGCAGAAAGGACATGGGAGAGCCAGCAGATGGCAGCTTGGACCATTCTGCCATTATTGGATCTCACCATAATACCTCTGCTTTATAGCAACTTGAGAATACCTAAGTGGACACTGACATCCCAGTAAAATAAGCAGTGCAGGGAACATTGCATTTGGGTGATGAATGACCTCTGGGCCTCTTGGTTGTAGTGGTAGCCTGATGGTAACTGTCAGCTAAGGAATGGATTTCTAAATGCCTTCAACTCAAACTGTGGTTACTACAGATACATCCCTTTTGGGATAGTGAGATCATGCCGATAGACGCTGTGCCCAGGGAACTTGGTGTTTTGAGGATGGGGCTCAAATTGTCCCTTTTTCTTGAAATCTGTCTTGCCAATGCTTCAACTGTTTTGTGGTGTGCTGCATGCCCCTATTCAAAAGTGACTTGTTTTGAGATCATCTTGTTTCATTTGGCAGAAAAATGCTGGGTTATCATGAATTAAACAAAGGTAGATTAGTCTCTTTGAAGCCTCTTTGCCTCGTACATGTGGTGCTTTATGCTTTGATCCTTCCTATCCCAAAATTAAGAACCCTGGTGTCCTGGAATATTAATGTGGTCTGACAAAGCCAGTGGAAAGGTACTTTGGAGGCACTCGGTACCTCTGAGCTTATGTTTCTTATGTGAAAGCTCATTTTCCTGGTGGTAGTGAGTTCGGCTTCAGAATCTGGTGACTGTTCCACCCTGAGATCAAATTTTATAAATGTAAGAGATGGTGCTCGTAGCAATAAAACTTGTCTCCATTTTTTAAGTGGAGATACGCCGATTAACCAAGTTATCCACTACCTGGAATATAACCTGAGTTGTAACCTATATTTTTAATATTTCTGAACTATACATTATTAAAATAAAATGGGATTTTAAAAAATGAAGAAATATCCTCACAGGCCATGGTCATTTCACAGATGGCCCTGTGAATAAAACCAGGGGAAGGGATAACTATAGGCTGGTTGCAGAGGTCCCAGTCTGAATCGGAACAATTGCAACAATTTTTGAAGACCTATTCCACAGATGTACCGAGACACAAGTGTTTTTGACTCCCGCATGATGTATGTAAAGTCACACAGGGCACAAGTTGTGATAAATGAAGGGTGGGGGGAGGAGAAGAGTAGCTCCCTTTTATGGACACCCGGCCAGCCAGTAGCTATAAAACCCTCTTAGTAGCTGCTCTCTAATTGCTCTACCTATAAAGGGTTAAAATGTCTCACTGCTATGCACAGGTAAAAGGAAGTGAGTGGGAACCTGGCCGAAAGAGCCAATGGGAAGGCTAGAACTTTTAAAAATTGAAACGACTCCCCTTTTGTCGGTCTGTTGTTGAGGTCGACAGGACAGAGCTATGCTGTAAGAGCTTGTGCCCAGTATGAAAAAAATCATCAGTATCATACCTAGAAACTACTCATTTAAAAACCCAAATATGTAAGTAGATCAGGAAATGTCTAGGAAGATGTGATTAGGTTTATTCCTTTTATTTCGTTATGGCTTGTGGATTCCTCTGTGCTAACCCCCAAAAGCTTTTGTTTGCTTGTAACCTTTAAGCTGGACCTCAAGAAAGCTATTCTTGATGCTTAATCCTTGTAGTTTTTTTTTAAACCTAGCAATAGCTTAAGTTCCTAGATGTATTTTCTTTCTTTTTTTATTAATAAAATTTACCTTTTTTAAGAACTGAATTGGATTTTTGTCTCTTAAGAGGCTTGTGCACATGTTGTTTAATTAGCTGGTGGCAACAGTTGATTTCTTTTCTTTTTTTTCCTCTTTCTCCTCTCTTCCCTGAAGATGGGGTGAAAGAGCTTGAGGGTACCCCACAGGAAGAAATTCCCAAGTGTGCCTTCCTGGGTTCTCAAAAGGGTTCTGCACTTGGGTGGTGGTAGCATCTACCCATCCGAGGTCAGAGAGAAGCTGTAACCTTGGGAGTTTAATACGGGCCTGGAGTGGCCAGTATTAATTTTTTGAATCCTTGCGGGCCCCCACCTTCTGCACTCGAAGTTCCAGAGTGGGGAATTAGCCCTGACACAAGTGTTCCAGGTAGTTTAGTTAATCAGAGCTGTCTCCACTTTAAAATTGATTATTTTTTTTTCTGTGAGGAGTTTTCTGGTTATTCTGTGGCTTTAAATTGCATTGATTTGGAAGAAGCATGCTGTCTATGGGTTTCCCCATTTCACAGCTCCCAGTGGCCACCATTCGCTGCTCCAGGCCAATGGGAGCTGCTGGAAGTGGCATGGGCCAAGGGACGTACTGGCTGCCGCTTCCAGCAGCTCCCATTGACCTTGAGCAGCGAACCGCGGCCACTGGGAGCCGCGATCGGCCGAACCTGCGGATGCGGCAGGTAAACAAACAGGCCCGGCCCGCCAGGGGCTTACCCTGCACAAGCGGCGGAACAAGTTTGGGAACCACTGATCTAGACTTTCAAATTAATTAGTGATCAAGTATATAGACAGTAATGAGCAAACTTTGTGTAAGAGGTTCAGTAGTTCTTTGATGAGAAGATCTGATAAGTGAAGTTAAAGTTTATTCAAGGCAGATTATGCCTAATTGGACGGCTTATAGAAATCCTTGATCAGCAGTGTAGTAAAAGAGAATCTCTGAATATGAAATACTATTCAATGTAGCCAGTTATATTAATAATACATCTTTTGATTTAATGGGGCTATAAAAAAAATCCTTATGTACTAATAGAAATCTTTAGGTAAAGAGATGGTTTCTTTGATCAGAAACATGGAGCCAAGAGGCTTGACCCCTAATTATACAGAAACATACCCATATGCTTAAAGTTATGTACAAAGTTATACACTATGAGGTGGGTTGTCTGGTCTGCAAGGCCACTTTGCGGCATACAACCATCTTCCTCTTCCCACATATTAGTGGTGTGGGAAATGTCTGCGAGGGGAGTGGGCATGGCCCTTGTGCATCTTTAACTTGCAGTGGAGCCAAGAGGGAAAGGTTTAGGGATCCTCAGCTGGCTCCCTTCAGCACCCCTCTCCCCCAAATCTCTGCTCCCTCTGATAATACTCTTCTCTTTTTGAAAAATTACTTAATTCAGATTTTAAACAATGTAAGTTTCTTTTCAGATATAACTGTAGGGATAAAAAAAAATCTAGGGACAGATTGGGAAACAGTCATGCTGTCTTGAAATATATTTCATATTTGATTTTATTCAAGATTGGCCATATGTATTTTGATGACATTACTGGTGTGTTCCAGTGCAAGGGACCATATTGCTTCAAATGTTTCCATACTATCATATAACTTGAATGAGAGATCCTGTTTTTGGATGCAAGGTTACTCAGTTAGGTAATGGTCTCTAAACATTGGTAGTGGGGTTTCCATTTATGCTGTCTCATTTTTTACAACTATTTATTGTCTTGCTGTTTGTTTCCTGTTGATTACATCATGTAGTGAAGAGACATTTTCTTTAATAAAAATTGCTTTGGGTTTAATGGGAGAATTTTTCTAGTGCCATATAAATTCTGACTTACATTGCCACATAATATGCAAGCATTTTCTTGCTTTTGGTTTGTTTCTGTAACATTTACTCGTTTGAATTTTTAAGCAAGCTTCTGTTATGCTTTCAGGGTCTTTCTATGTA